CCCCAGAAGTGGGGAGGGAATGGAGATTTTGCAATATCCTTCCCCTGGAGTGGGGAGGGAATGGAGATTTTGCAATATCCTTCTTCTAGAGTGGGGAGGGAATGGAGAATTTGCAGTATCCTTCTCCCAGGAGTGGGGTGGGAATGGAAATTTTGCAATATCCTTCCCCTAGAGTGGGGAGGGAATGGGGATTTTGCAGAATCCTTCCCCCAGAAGTGGGTGAGAATGGAAATTTTGCAATATCCTTCTCCTAGAGTGGGGAGGGAATGGAGAATTTGCAGTATCCTTCTCCCAGGAGTGGGGTGGGAATGGAAATTTTGCAATATCCTTCTCCTAGAGTGGGGAGGGAATGGGGATTTTACAGTATCCTTCCCCCAGGAGTGGGGAGGGAATGGAGATTTTGCAATATCCTTCTCCTAGAGTGGGGAGGGAATGGAGATTTTGCAGTATCCTTCCCCCAGGAGTGGGGTGGGAATAGAGATTTTGCAATATCCTTCTCCTAGATTGGGGGAGGAATGGGGATTTTACAGTATCCTTCCCCCAGGAGTGGGGAGGGAATGGAGATTTTGCAATATCCTTCTCCTAGAGTGGGGAGGGAAAGGGGATTTTGCAGTATCCTTTCCCTGCCATGCCCACCAAGCCATGCCCACAGAACCAGTACTATTTTTTTTAATTTCACCACTGGATTTGCTTGGCTTGTTTCTTTGCAGATGTTTGATTATCCAAGCTAGATAACATCATCGGTACTAGTACTAACAACTGATGATGTTACCTAGTTCGGTAATGAAATGTCTGCAAAGAAACAAACCACAGTCAGAGAGCACCAAGGAGCCCTCATTTCAACCCTGAGTTACAAATATTCTCCTTTACTAAATCTTATCATTGCCATCCAAAGCCCAGGTGAGTGAGAGCTGGACCGTGGAAATTATTTTCACTGCAACCACATCCCGAAGACAAAAAATATACAACAAAGGGGCAGGAGTCACACACACCTAACCTAAAATGCAGTTGATTTTGGGCGTAGTGTCTACAGAGCCATAATAATTTGGACATCAAAACATTTGGCTTATTGCACCAGATGTGAAAAAAAGCAACAACCAGAGATTATGGTATGCTTTTAAAAGCCAGACTTGAGCTAAATTGTCTCTTACACAAAGTATCAGTTCAGTCATAGATTATTATTTATTTATTTTTGAGTTGACATTTCTGCTTTGGATTACAGAGAGTCCTCGGGTTATGACTATTTTTTTTAGCAACCCTTTGAAGTTACGACGGCACTGAGAAGAGTTATTTGCAAGCAGTTCTTGCACTGACAATCATTGCAAAATTCTCTCTCGATTGTGATTTGGGTGCTTTGGCAATTGGCATCTTGTTTATGATGGTTGCCACATCCGGTGATCAACCTTCCAAGCCAGTCAAAGTGGTGTCTTGCTTAACGACCAGAGTGATTTGCTTAAAAAACCACGGCAAAGAAGGTTGCAAAGTCGGGTATGGTTAAGGGATGATGCTTCATGTGATGGCCCTACCACTTAAGAACAAAGTTTCCAATCCCTACGATGGTCATAACTCAAGGACCATCTGTTCTTTAAAAATTAATGCACAATTAAAATGAATTGGGGCAAAATGCAGGCGGTCCCCGACTTATGACCACAACTCAGAGTCCAAAATGTCTGTGGTTTACGTGAGACAGCTGTTAAGTAAGTTTTGCCTCATTTGTATGACCTTCCTTGCCTCAGTTGTTGAGCGAACCAATAGTTGAAATCTTAGTAACCCAGTTGTTAAGCGAATCCATTGATTTTACTTGTCAGAAGGTCGCAAAAGGGGATCACATGACCCCCTCCCATCCAACGCTGCAACCGTCATAAATATGACTCAGTGGCCAAATGTCTGGATTTTGATCATGCGACCACAGGTCGCAACTGTGAAAAACATCCATAAGTCCCTTTTTTTCAGTTCCATCGTAACTTCCAACGGTCACTAAATGAACCGTTGTAAGTCGAGGACTACCTGTAAGGCATTTTAACATTCCAACAGTCGGTCTACCAGACTGCTTGAACAACCCAACACTTTTGTTTGTTTTTAGCCAACTCTTTAAACAAACTTTTTCCTAGAGCGCAGGACACAACTTTCAAGTTTAGGAAAAAAAAAACGTTACTACATTTTGCACCCAAATATTTATAGTAGCCACGGGTTAAGGAAACACTTGCAGAAGCTTTTAATGCAGGGCGTGCATATTATGAAACCGTTCCTGCTCCCAACCGCGGGGCTCTGGGCCAGGGATGATGGGATCTGCAGTCCGGCAAAAAAGGAGAGATGTACGACATTCCCACACATAATTCTGGGATCAGGGCCAGAGTCATCCTGGACAAAAATTGCAGTTTCATCCCTGTAAGCTGCCATGGAAGGAGGAGGGACAAGATCTTTCCCAAATTTTAGAAGCCTCCAGCAAGCAAATACGTACAGGTACAGTAGCTCCTTGCATAAGGCAGGTGAGACGGAAGCCAGAGCCACCTTTGCTCTTCCATTTTTTTCAGAGAGGGACCTTCTCAGTCCTCCCTACATATTGACGGAAGTTATTCATTTGGGCATAACCGAAAGAGACAGAAGCCTCTTGGACAACTCAGATGAGACAAAGAGTGGATGGCCCACATAGATCAGTGACTTCTAGCCAATATCCCCCAGGGACCTGGGATCGCCAGTATAAGCAAATCAGGTACTTTTAACCATAATATTGTACGGTTGCATTATGTACAATGTGATATTGTATCACAGCGGTCAGTCCTAGAGGAGGTCGACCCCGACTGCTCTTTAGAAGGCCAGATCCTGAAGACGAACCTCAAATACGTTGGCTACCTAATGAGAACGAAGGACTCGCTGGAGAAGAGGTTGAGATTGAGGGCAAAAGAAGAAATGGACAACAGAGAATGAGGTGGCTGGATG